TAGTTCTTGTAAATAAATAACCACTAATACCTTTTGTTGTATAATTTAATCTTCTCTATGTTATTTAATTTTCTCAATATACATCTGATTGACAAAAAAAGTTACGGTCATTTCAATGTTTTCAGTTGTATTTCATTTCATATTACATATCAACATGTTAGTTTGTTACTTGCTGCCCCAACTTCTGGAGTGATACAGTTTCTTTGGAAATCACATCATCTCAAAAGATAAAATATAAATTCTCTGTCTCAGTACTCAGCTGTGCCTGGACCTGGAAGTAGTAATCCTTTCTCCTATAGCATCATTCCCCTCTTTGATCAGGCATCCTCCCTTGTTTCCACCACACAGGTGCAGATTGACTGTGTCTTGCTTGCATGGTGGGCACTAAAATTTACAGGGAAGAGAATGTGTAAATAACTTTTTCTATTTGTTTCACAGATTCTAAAACAAATTAATATATACACACATGTATAAATCCCCCTTTCACCCCTTGCTGGGTGTTATGTGTCGTCCCTTAAGCTCTGGTCCTCCGCCAGGAGGCCTGGAGTGTGAGGGTTCTATGCAGTCCTTAGATGTTCCCAGGACTGCACTCCTCGGACAGAGACATCAGATGTTGTGCTGGAATCTACTGGAGCCACTCTCCCAGTTTGGGGGTGAAACCCTACATGCATTGTTAGGAGCTTTCTTGTCTGATGTCAGGGCCTCTATCTCCTCCTCTGGCCAGTTTCTTTTACCAGCTGGGTATCTGACGACTGGCAGGCGTATTTGTTGATGGCATGGATCTTGTTCTTCCCATTCAGCTGACTTTTCAGGACCTGCCTTCCTATGTGTAGGTAGTATTTGGCTGTGGATGACTTCCTTCCTGCCGACTCATGTTTTCATTTGCGCTACAGGATCCCAAGTGTTGCTGAGGCTTCCTGTCAGCTGATTCATGTGGACATGATCATCCTACCTATTAAGGCAAGATAGTCTTAAAACTTATAGGAAGGCCCTCCGTAATGCCAGAGCAGCGTACTACTCGTCATTAATAGAGGAAAATAGGAACAACCCCAGGTTTTTCAGCACTGTAGCCAGGCTGACAGAGAGTCACAGCTCTATTGAGCCAAGTATTCCCATAGCTCTCAGTAGTTACGATTTCATGAGCTTCTTTAATGATAAAATTCTAGCTATTAGAAACAAAATTCACCAAGACCTGCCCTCAACTGGCACCGACTTATCTCTTAACTCAGGAACCTTAGAAACAGCTGTAGAACCAGATACATGTTTAGACTGTTTTGCTTCACTCAATCTTTACCAACTAACTTCAATAATTTCTTCATCTAAACCATCAACCTGCCTCTTAGACCCCGTCCCGACTAGGCTGCTTAAAGATGTTTTACCCTTAGTCAGCACCTCTATACTAGATAGATCAATCTACTTTATCAACAGGCTATGTACCACAGTACTTTAAAGTAGCTGTAATTAAACCTCTTCTGAAAAAGCCCAAACTTGATCCGGATGTTTTAGCCAACTATAGACCTATATCTAACCTTCCATTTCTCTGTAAGGTTCTGGAGAAAGCAGTTGCTAAACAGCTGGTGACTTTCTACAGAGCAATAGTTTATTTGAGGATTTTCAGTCAGGATTTAGAGCTCATCATAGCACAGAGACAGCACTGGTGAAAATTACTAACGACCTCCTTATGCATCAGACAAAGGACTTGTCTCTGTACTGGTTTTATTAGATCTTAGTGCTGCATTTGATACCATTGACCATCAGATCCTATTGCAGTGACTGGAACATTTCATTGGCATTAAAGGAACCGCTCTAAGCTGGTTTAAGTCCTATTTATCAGATCAATTTCAGTTTGTACATGTTAACGATGAGTCCTCCATGCACACCAAAGTTAGTCATGGAGTTCCTCAAGGATCTGTCCTCGGACCAATCCTCTTCACTTTATATGCTTCCTTTAGGCAATATTATCAGGAAATATTCCATAAGATTTCATTGTTATGCAGATGATACTCAGTTATATCTATCGATCAAACCAGATGAAACTCATCAGTTAGCTAAACTTCAAATGTGCCTTCAGGATGTTAAAACCTGGATGACATGTAATTTTCTCATGTTAAACTCAGATAAAACTGAAGTTATTGTTCTGGGGCCCAAGCACCTCCGTGATGCATTATCTAAAGATATAGTTTCCCTGGATGGCATCGCCCTGGCCTCCAGCACCACTGTGAGGAATCTTGGAGTCATCTTTGATCAGGACATGTCGTTTAAGTCTCACATTAAGCAAATTTCAAGGACCGCCTTTTTTCACCTACGTAATATTGCGAAAATCAGGAACATCCTGTCAAAAAATGATGCAGAAAAACTAGTCCATGCATTTGTTACTTCTAGGCTGGATTACTGCAATTCTTTATTATCAGGCTGCTCGAAAAAGTCCATTAAGACTCTTCAGCTGATCCAGAATGCTGCAGCACGTGTTCTGACAGGAACCAGGAAAAGAGATCACATTTCTCCTGTTTTAGCTTCTTTCCATTGGCTTCCAGTAAAATCCAGAATAGAATTTAAAATCATCTTCTTACCTACAAAGCTCTAATGGTCAGGCACCATCTTATCTGAAAGAGCTCATAGTACCTTACTACACCACCAGAGCACTGTGCTCCCAGAATGCAGGGTTACTTGTGGTTCCGAGTCTCCAAAAGTAGACTAGGAGCCAGAGCGTTCAGCTATCAAGCTCTCCTGTGGAACCAGGTTCCAGGTTCCAGTTCTAGTCTTATTATTGTTATTATAATCATTAACATACGACTGTTACCATTAACACTACTATAAATCTCTGTACCATTTTCATTTAGTCTATAGCAACATCACCTTTACTGTCTGTACCTCTGGTGGATATTGTGTAGGCTGCCTTCTCTCTCTCTCTCTCTCTCTCTTTCTCTCTCTCTCTCTCTCCTTCACCCCAACCGGTGGAGACAGATGGTCGCCCACCCTGAGCCATGGTTCTGCTCGAGGTTTCTGCCTCTTAAAAGGAAGTTTTTCCTTGCCTCTGTCTCCTAGTGCTGCTCTTGGTGGGAACTGTTGGGCTTCTGTAAATAGCATCATAGAGTACGGTCTAGACCTGCTCTTTTATGAAAAGCGCTGTTGTTGTGATTTGGCGCTATATAAATAAAATTGAATTGAATTATGCATGTTGAAATCTAATGGGACTATTTTCCATTTTTATTCCAGAGCGTGGTTTTTCCCTTTGAGAGTGTGACTCGTTGATTTCATGTCTTGATTTTGTCATTATCTAAAATTTATGTCACCATACAGGTTCAATAAGGAACCAAATAATCCTGGTTCTTCAGTTTAAGGTAACAGTGATTCAGCAAATATCTAGTTACAGTTCTTTTCATGCATCATGCACTTTGACCGATAACCAAGGAGATATTCAGGTAAGTGAACAGTATGTGGTCCACTTTCTCCCCATTCAAGACTTAAAACATACAGTACTATTGCCTTAAGTCTTTAGATATATTAAACTGACAGGTGACTGTACTTAAGCCCACCACCCTGCTAAAGAGAACTGGGTCAAGAAAAAAGTTCAGGCCAAACTCTGTCAAACTCTGAAGAATTTGAATTGTTTACTTAATAATCAGCAAATGCAGCTACTGACAAATACAACAATTCAGATATTTTTCAGATTGATACAGTCCTCTGCTAATATGTGCTTACAAATAACACACCAAACATAACTATACTTCACAGACCTCATGACGAAATCATGAGTCTGCAGGGGTTTTACAATAATAAGAAACAAAGTTTTCTTATAAAATTCAGTAACATTTGGAGATTACCTGTATGCTGAATCTATGTACCTAATCATCCAAAAAATGAAGTGGGTCATATTTTTCACTGTCCTTTGTTTGCAGATAATTAAGGGATTCTGAGGAATGTCTAACAAAGAGCTTAAAGTGTGGATGAGGTCTCACTCTGAACTCCAATTTATAAAGAAGAACTTCTGCTTGTTTGTGGAAGAGTTTTAAATGAATTCAGTTGGTTCAACCTGAAACAAAATGAAAGAAAATCAATAATATTAGCTAATTTTGATAGATAGTTATGTTATTGACTGATATTTATATATCATAGTTTAAATGATATATATTTGTAAATTTGTTAATTGCATTTTAAGTCTTGATTTTTTAACCTATAATGCTTATTTTGTATAAGTTGTGTATGTTTTGTAACTGTAACTTTTATTTTATATTACTTTATGTAAACCGCTGCGTCTGATGATTGAGCTGTGGTGATTATGATTAGACATTTATCAGAGGTGATTTTCACCTTCAGGGTAAGTTGAGATCCTGGGCCCCTGGCCCTTCCGTTCAGTGGCAGAGGGACAGAGGTAGGACCTACAGGTTATCTGTCCTAAGGTCCTTAATAGTTCATATTAGTCTTTTTATGGACTTGTGTAAAACAATGTGATTCTTGTGACTTATGTATATTTCTCTCTATATATTTTGTGATGGTGATCATATTTATGACGTTTGTGTTATAGTGTTTATTTTTATTCAAATGAAAATACATTTTAAAAAATGTAATATAAAAAAATGGAAATTGGGATTACTGGCATCTGACCTACACATTGCCTATTTAGCACACCTGTGTGTTTTTGCAATTTCACTGCGGGAACCTGAAGACGCCATAGAATCAGAAGGCAAAACACGTTATTCACAATAAATATAGTAAAGCCATTTCAGTGTGCGGTAGTTTTGATTTAACATTTGATTATCTGTTAAGTTTTGTGTGTGTGACATTAAGGGACTACGAACTTTCTTTTCTTTATACAAACTTGTGTTGTTTAAAAATGAAAAATTACCTTGATGACAATAAATGAATGAGGTGAGCTTCAATGTCATGACTACCAGAGGAGAGAAAACTACACCAGGAAGCAGGAAAGAGTGGATCAATAGTCTGCAGGTCGTAGTGACGCATCTTCAACACAAACCATCTTTGACCATCTGCGTCGTGACGTCAGGCTCAGAGCGTCAGTCTGTGTAGCTGGTACTTCCTGGTTTCAGAATAAAACGCCTTTCTGTCGGCGCTGCTCTGAAGTCTCATGTGTTTCCTGAGCTCAGGTGAGTCGAGCCGCTCGGGGCCGCCGCAGGTAACTCACCTGCTCTTCAGACAGGAACGAGATGCGGCCTGTTTCCGCTCACAGAGTTTCTGCAGAACTTTGAACTGTGTGTCTCTCTGCAGCCTCTGTCCGTGTGTCCGAACCTCCAGCACGTGAACCCGGCTCCAGCTTCAGCAGGTCCAGACCAGCAGGTACAGTCTTTCTGAACCGAACCGAGTCCAGCAGGAGCCCGCAGTCCGGTTCCCCTGAGACTCCAGCTTGTTGTTCTGGAACCAAAAATCAGTCAGTTCATGGAAAGAAATCTGAAATCATTAGTGGATTAACCAATCAGAACGATCAGGTGGGAGGTGACGTCACACCTGAACAGCTGTAGTAAATACACCTCAGAGAACATTTTACTGCAACACGAGTACTTTTACTGCGATACTTACTGTCATACTGTACATGTTGCTGCATACTTTTACTTGTCCTGGAGTATTTTCACAGAGTCGTATTAGTACTTTTACTGAACGAACATTGGAATACAGAACCTTTGACTTGTCCTAAGGTATCTTCACAGTGTAGTACTAGTACTTTTACTACAGTAGTATTTCCACCACTGCATCTGAAACAAACTTTAGTTTATAATAAATATTAAACCGTAATTTAAATGTAAGCAGGCAGGATATGTAATATATAAACTTAAACAAACATTTCGTGTTGGTGAACAGACGGAGGTGAGAGGTTAAAGAGGGAAGGTGGAGGTAGGAACACTGCAGTGGAGACAGACTGCTGAAAGCCGCTCAGTGATATTAAAAGATAAAGACTTGGTTTCAAACAGTTTTGAACACTTGAACACTCGCATGTGTCTTTGGAAATGTCCATGATATCGTCCTTTAGAGGTTAAAGAAGGTTGGAGAAAGTTGGTCCAGTTTTAGGTTTTGCACGTCAGTCATTGGGTGTGTAGAGTCCGTAGAGATTATTCAGTACGAGCAGAGGGCAGACCGGACAGAAGCTAAATGTTAAAGCAGAAAGATGAATTCTGAAGTTTGAAGACAGAAATGTAGAAATTAAGATGTATGATGATTTAAGATGAAGTTTTCTGAAAATAAAACTTTTCCAGCCTTTTTTAAAAGTTAATTATGTTCTGATAAAAGGGGCCATTTAATTAAGACTTTTTCTGTTGGACTACTGTTGATCAGCAGGAAATTCATTCACCAGCAGGTTCATAGATGTCATTTACTGCGAGGACGGTGGGGACATGTCCCCTCCATGTGAAAGCATCTGTTAAATGTTCTGAAACATAGTGCACAAGAAATGCTAAATAACAAATAAAAGGTTTATTTGCATAATAAAAAAATATGTAATATAATTAAATGTAAAAGATTGAAGAAACAAATTGAAATGATTGAAATGTCTTCAGAGTAAATAGAAAAAAAAAAAGAGATTTACTTTTAAAAGGTTTAAAAGAGTTTTCTTGGACAGATTAATAAAATGAGCACCTGAAGTTACAGTGTGTGAAGCAGCTCGTCTGATTCTTCAGTTGCAGATAAAAAACACCCAGTATATAATAATATAATAATATAATAAGCCTTTTCAGTCACTATCTAGTGTTTGAGTTTACAATGACTGTTTTTTGATGACTGAATAAACAATTAACTGCTAGCGTCTGTTCATGTCTTCCAGGATGTCCACGACGTCTCAGAAGCACCGGGACTTTGTGGGCGAGCCGATGGGAGACAAGTCTGTGACGGCTCTGTCGGGCATCGGAGAGATCCTGGGGAAGAAGCTGGAGCAGCAGGGCTTCGACAAGGTAGAGAAAACACACCAACTATAACCAAAGCCATGTGTAGCGCCCCCCGCAGGCTGCAGGGAGCAAGTGCAGTCACCTTTATTTATATAGCGCATTTAAAAACATCAGGAGTTAAACCTAATAATAAAAATCAGAAGTGGTTAAATTAGAAAAAGAAATCAGCTCATACAGCAAGGAGCAGAATATGGACCACTGCTACGCAGACGATACTCAACTCTACCTATCCTTCCTGCCCGATGACGCCAACATCTTGGCGCGGATCACGGACCGTCTATCAGACATATCTGCATGGATGACGGCTCGCCACCTTCAACTAAACCAAGCAATCTATCCACCATAACATCAAACTACAAACTCCTCAACCATCTCTCCAACCAGGGCGGTGAGAAACTTCATGATTGATGACCAGCTGTCCTTTTCAGACCATGTTGCTGCTGTCTCCAGAGACTCATGCGCAGTCGAAGTATAACCGGTCGGGAAAAATGCTTTTTAAACCTTATTTTGGGGCAAAGTTGTCAAACTCTGTTACGGCTGCCGAGAGCAGCCGTCTGTGTGTCACTGCTGCCTGTGTTTCTCCCTGCATGTGGTACACTGTGAGGCGGGGGATTGGCTGGACTTCGGCAAGCCTGGCTGATCCCGCCTCCCATCTCCGACGATTCTGATTGGAGCGGCACACCACCCCTTCTCCAATCGCCAAGCTGCCTGCAGGACCGCCTTCGTACCTTCCCCCTCAAATAGGCTGGTCTGCTGCTGGTTCAGGGCAGCTACCTTTGTGCTGTTTGCTGCTCGTGATGCGGTGCAAGAATCATTAGGGTTTAGTCCAGCACAGCTCGTGTTTGCACACACACCCGCGGGCCACTTAAAGTGCTGCATGATCAGTTCCTGTCTCGTGAGTGTGTGTGCCCCCGCAACCTATTAGACTACGTTAGTCAGTTCAGAGAACGCTTGCATCAAGCTAATGCCACCGCCAAGCAGTTCCTCTCTGCGTCACAAGCAGTGATGAAAGCCCGCTACGATCGTTCTACGGTGTCCCGACGTTTTCATGTAGGCGATAAGGTATTAACCCTACTACCTGTTACAGGTTCGTCCCTTTCTGCTAGGTTTTCTGGACCTTATGAAGTCCGTGAGCGTCTAAGTGACACGGATTATGTGATTAGTACTCCCGAGAGTAGGAAGAAAACCCGGGTCTGTCATATAAATATGATGAAGCTATACCACGCTAGAGACAGAGATACAGTTCCGGTTAAGGGAAATGAGTCCACCTCGTCAACCGCTACGCCCGTCCCCGCTGTTGTGGCAGTAATTGTTACAGAGCCTGCATCCGCGCCCGATCCTGATGACCTGCGGCCGCGTCATCCGGAGCATCCGAGCGCCCGGCTCCTCAACACCGAAGCCTTGCAAACTCTGCCGAGCCAGTTACAGCACTTGCCTGCTGCAGCCCAACAGGACGTAATGCAGCTAGTTGACCAATTCTTGTGTCTATTTTGTGACATCCCGACCAGAACTCATGTTATTGAGCATGATGTTGAGCTGACAGACCCCCGGCCCATTAAAGTTCACCCGTACCGTGCTAACCAAAACAAGCGTGAGTTAATGAAGGGAGAAATCCAGTACCTCCTCCAACACGGTTTAGCTGTACCCAGCTCAAGCCCATGGAGCTCCCCTTGTTTAGTTGAAGCGAAGTCTGATGGTTCACCGCGTTTTATCACAGATTTCAGGAAGGTTAACTCTGTCACAGTGCGCGACTCATACCCATTGCCCCGCATGGAGGACTGTGTCGACAATTTGGGAAATGCCCGTGTTGTCAGTAAATTGGACCTGTTAAAAGGCTACTGGCAAGTCCCGTTGACCGAGCGTGCCTCCAATGTTTCTGCGTTTGTTACCCCCGATCACTTCCTGCAGTATACCGTCATGCCCTTTGGTATGTGCAATGCGCCCGCCACGTTCCAACGTTAGCTAAACACTGTGTTAGCTGGTGTCAGTAACTGTAGCGCGTACTTGGACGACCTAGTACTCTACACCGACACTTGGGAGGAGCACCTGCTTCTCCTTACGCAGGTTTTTGACCGTCTTGCCCAGGCCAATCTCACCCTGAATCTAGCCAAATGTGAGTTTGGTAAAGCCACCGTCACATACTTGGGAAAACAGGTTGGACAGGGACAGGTTCGCCCTGTCGAGGCTAAGGTTGCTGCGGTGAGTGCCTGTCCTGTCCCAGCTACGCGTCGGGCACTTCGCTCTTTTCTAGGCATGGCCGGTTACTACAGAGGTTTCTGTAGGAACTTTTCTACTGTAGTGCAGCCGTTAACACAGCTGCTTAGCCCCAAGGTTGATTTCGTGTGGACCCCAGAGTGTCAGATGGCGTTTGACAGCGCCAAGGCGTTATTGTGTCATGCCCCTGTGTTAGCTGCCCCGGACTTGGCTAAGCCATTTAAGCTAGAGGTGGATGCCAGTGCAGTGGGGGCTGGCGCTGTCCTGCTCCAGAGTGGTACTGACAGAGTGGACCGTCCGGTGTGCTATTACTCCAAGAAGTTTAACAAACATCAACTCCATTATTCTACCATTGAGAAAGAGACTCTTGCTTTGTTGTTGGCCTTGCAACACTTTGAGGTGTACGTTGGGTCTAGTTCTCTGCCCGTAGTAGTTTACACGGATCATAACCCACTTGTGTTCCTTTCCCGCATGTACAATCAGAACCAACGGCTTATGCGCTGGGCTCTGATTGTACAGGATTACAACCTCGAGATACGCCACAAGAAAGGGACCGAAAATGTGATCGCTGACGCATTATCTAGGCTGTGAGAATGATGTATAGAGATGTGCATTATGTAGTGATCTGACTTCATTTCAAACCTTATAGTCTGTATTTTATGGGGGGGAGTGTTACGGCTGCCGAGAGCAGCCGTCTGTGTGTCACTGCTGCCTGTGTTTCTCCCTGCATGTGTTCCACTGTGAGGCGGGGGATTGGCTGGACTTCGGCAAGCCTGGCTGATCCCGCCTCCCATCTCCGACGATTCTGATTGGAGCGGCACACCACCCCTTCTCCAATCGCCAAGCTGCCTGCAGGACCGCCTTCGTACCTTCCCCCTCAAATAGGCTGGTCTGCTGCTGGTTCATGGCAGCTACCTTTTGCCATGTGGTTTGCCCTGACGCTGGTCCTAACCTTGAACTCTGTGTGTGCCTGTATCCTCAGTGGAAACAGCTTCTGTGTTTGTGAGATCTGTGTGTTACTGAGAGTTGGTAACTCACCTGGGCTGATCCCAGTAGGTGGTCTACAGACTTGGGCTAGGGATTGATTACCCACACCTGGTAGTTAAATATTTGTTTAGTGACACTAGGTTTAGGGGTGCTGCGCTCCCTGTGTTTTTTCCACTTCTGAGCAACGGCTAGAGAGGTTTTTGTTTATCTTTTTTCAAGTAGTTTAGTAATCCCCCACGTAGGAGGGATCTCTTTTTGTTATATTTGGTTCTTTGTTTTACGCAGCACCCACTTGCCCATTTTCTGTTTGACTATTTTGTGTCTATCCGACTGCTTAATAATAATCTTTCCACCCATACCAAATTCATCTGGTTTATGTTTACGTCTCTCCTACCCCTAGACAGCGGGGACGTAACAAACTCTTTCAGCGATTTTTAACAGATTTTCCTGCTGATTGTATTCATGTAGTGTTTATGTCCTGGTGAAAGTCCTGGCTCTCTCCCCATTCAGTCAGATAGGAGCCCGGTCTTGTCAGTCCGAAGTAGCTGCCCGGAGGTGTTGCCGAGATGGCTGCCGAGCGGCAGGACTTGCCTATAAGGACTTGTGCGGTGAAACCCCTATAAATGGTTCAGAACGCAGCAGCGCGTCTGGTTTCTGATCAGCCCAAAAGGACTCCACTGGCTCCCTGGGGCCTCCAGAATCAAACTCAAGTCCCTGATGCTGCATACAGAGAGACTGCTGGGTCCATAATCCAAACTTACGTTCCTTCTCGGCCGCTACGCTCCTCCAGCGAACGCCGCCTGGCTCTGCCATCCCTTCACACAAAGCGATCTCAGTCCCTGTTCTCATCTGTGACACCACGATGGTGGAACGAGCTACCACACGCCATCAGAGCAGGGGCGTCCCTCTCTAACTTCAAGAAGCTCCTGAAAACTCTGCAGAGAACAACACCTCTGACCTCTGACATGCACTTCCTGTGCTCTTCTTCTGGCTCCTTACAACACTCCTATTTGTTAACTGTTACTTCTTCCTCTACGTATTTTCCCCACTGATGCTGTACGAACAGCTCTTAGTAGTGTCTACTGTGATCAGTAGATCTCTTACTGTATTGGCAAATGTCACTTTGGCTAAAAAGCGTCTGCCGAATGAGTAAATATAAATTTCAGTTCTGTTGTCTTTTCTTTGTTGCAGTTTAGTCTGTCAGCAGCATTTTGAACCCTTTGAAATTGATAAAGTGTGGAATGGGTGAATCACTGCAGGCAGTTTAAACCACACACTCCTGAAATGAAACCAGGACGTCTGCAGAGGTCTGTGAACGAGAAGCTGACCTTTGACCTCTGTGTTTCAGGCCTACGTGGTTCTGGGTCAGTTCCTGCTGCTGAAGAAAGACACAGAGATGTTCACCGAGTGGCTGAAAGACGCCAGCGGAGCAAACTCCCGTCAGGCCGGGTCCTGCGCTCAGTGTCTGAAGGAGTGGTGCGACGCCTTCCTCTGAGACTCCGCCTCCTCACCTGAGACCCGCCTCTTCCTGTTCCTCCCACTGTTCGCTCTCTTCCTGCTTCCGAAGCTGCTGTCACATCTGACAACTGTGTGTTCGGCTCAAAGCTTCTCTGCTGCTGCTGTGAACGTTTTCAGGTGAATCCATTAGCCTACTTCCTGGTCGGCTGCGACATCACAGCGACCTGACACGTGTTCATTTATCTGATCTGAGCTTGTTTGTTGGGGAAAGTTCACATGAATAAAAGTTTTGTGTCTGAACTGTTTGGCTGCAGACGGTGTGTTCAGTGCCTTGAGGCATGTTTACAAGTTAAGCACCTACAAAATGTAGCAAAACCCTTATTTCAACAGAAACGGTGGTGCCTTGAACACATCGCTGTGTGCGCAAGCGTGCTGATTTTTCTTTTTTTTTTTAACACTGCACCTGTGACACGCCCACCAAACGGGAGAAAACATACCTCGAAGCCGTTTTGAGATTGAACTCGCCCATGTTGTCCCAGGTGAACCTGACAGGTCAGATTTCATTTCTCTGTCCAGCCACTCTGGTTTCCGCATCGTGGATTTTTCCCGCCTCATCATGAAGCTTCAATCATCCACCAAGTTATAAATATTCATCTCTGAGACCGAAGTGAAGCTGTGAATGAGTCCAGAAGACTTTAATCAGACTCGTCAGAAAGGGAGCAGGTGGAAGCATCGACGGTACAAAACAACTGGAACTGGCGACCTTAACGACGAGGGTTGATTTCTTGGAAATGACAGTTGGACAAAAACATATTTGCACGAGCTTCATGAACATTTTCCAAGCTTGCAGCTGCATCTCATCTTCAGAACCTGACTGCAGTCTGACCTCCTGACATGCTTCACCAACGAAAACCTTTAAAGTCAGCAGATATGCTGCGTTCCAGACGCCTCGCAACTCACGACGCTAAAGCTGTCCAATAATAATTATTCATGTAGCTTTACCCAAAACAACTTGCAGCTGCTACATCTGGTCGCACGTCTCTGGAGCAACGAGCGGTTAAGTGTCTTGCTCAGGGACACGTTGATGGATGTGTCACAGTGGGAATCAAACACAGGTCTCACACCAAGGCATGTGTCTTATCCACTGCTCCACCCTTCCAGGTGCATAATGGTTCTTGACTTGTGCACACAGCTGAAGTAACTCTGCCAGCGTGTTTCACTGAACATTACAGAATTTCTCCTCAGGGATCAATGAAGTATTTCAGATTCTGATACTACGACATCAGTGATTTTACTATCTGAGCTTTTTATTCTGATTACATACAGGTGAAGATCCGTTTATGTGACGTCATTCTGCTGCTTCTCGTATTTTGTCACAAGTGGGTCGTAAAGTTCTGTTCATGGTACTTTTCTAGAAATGGTTGGAAATTTCCGAGTTGCCTGAAACACACCATAACTGCACTGGAAGCTGCTGCTGAACTCACTGCTAGATAAAAAAAATAGCCATTTTAAAGGCCTGAGGCGTCGCTTGACAAGTTCAATCGGGACTCACGATGGAGAATACAAACCCAGCTAAACTCCTGCTGAAGCTAAGTAGCTTAGCATAACTCAGCAGCTGGAATTCACGTCAAATGTATTCAGTTGTAAAATAATCATTGATTTCAGTATAAACAGTAACGGACAAGCAGCAAGACAATTTACTAGTAAAGACGTATCGACTGTAAATAATCAAAATAGTTTATTTTCTTGAACAAAGTTAAAATGCACAAGAAAGATAGTTTTAGGTAGCAGGTGTAAAATAATCAGACAAAAATACATTCTGTTATCACAACCTTTTTACAGTTTGCCTGAAAACGTTTTACAGCTTCTGTAGATTTTATTATTATTAAAGTTGAGACGTTTGAATCGGACCCAAACTCAACAGGAGATCCTTCAGAGCAGAAAACAATCAGAGCGCTGTCGTACAAACAGGTCAAGTCTAACGTGGTGAGGTCGGAGACGTGAACCCCGTCCTGGTTTACTGGTTTCACTGGGACGGGGGAGCAGACTGGAGTGTCGCCCCTGACCTCGGGTCAATAAAAGTTAAAACATGTCTGAATCCAGATTTACTGTCAATATAAAGGACTCAAAACAAACACACGCTGACACAACATAGAATAATAAAATCCAACAACAGGTTCAACATATAACCGAACACTCAAAGATTAAAGGAGGTGAAAACGTTTTCATTTCTGCTAAACTGGTTTAATGCAGAGTCTGCTTAGTGTTTATGGAGGGTTTCCGGTCTGTCACAGGGAGGCTTTGGGGGCCGCATGAGGTCTTCAGGAGGTCCAGGATCTCTGGTTTTTCACAATAAAAGCTTCAGTGTCTCTTGAGGGACTCGATGTAATGAAAGGTTGCCCCCAGAGCCCAGCTGGTTTCCACCTGGTGGATCGTCCTCGCCAGCTGACACACAAACAAACAACAGGTCAGACCCGGATTCAAACACAGGGGGGTCAGCGTGGCCCAGACCGTTACTCACCTTCAGCTGTTTGTGGGGGGGGAATCCGAGCTCCTGCAGCAGGACTGAGATGTAGACCAGGTCCAGACAGAGGAAGGGACTCTGTGGAGGACTGACGGAGAGGCCGCTGCAGACTGCAACACATCAGGTGACCTCTTTAAACAGGAAGTGATGTTACTGTCTATGGCCTAAACCAAAGTTACCGATTATATGAATGTCGACCGGTTAACCCTACAGCTGACAGCAGACAGGGTTAACTTCTTTCCTGCTGCTGCGCATTACCACCACCAGTCCACTAGATGGCGCTGTCGCAAAAGAACTGCAGTCCCGGGTTCTGTTGCGAACCATCTAGCTGAAGCTGCAGCTAGATGGTTTTGGTTGTACTGGGCAACTTCCAGGTGTGATTGTGATCAGGGCTTCCTCAGTGAAGCTCCCTGAATAAATAAAGGATAAAAAGAGGATCTATGGGGTTCAGGTCAAGGGGACAGCGAGAGACCAACAATACAGTCGAGCTGAAGGCCGCTACCGAAGAACCTGGGCCTCCATAGCACCTCAGCAGCTCCGCAGGCTGCACTGATGCAGGAACTAATGCACAAGGAGCCCCGACCAAGTGCTGAGAGCATAAATGAACCTTTTCAGAAGGTCGACATCTCTGCATTAAACATTCATTATTCTAATATTTTGAGATTTTTGATTTCTGTAAACTGTGATCATCAAGATCAAAACAAAAAAAGGCCTGAAATATTTCACTCTGTGTCTAATGAAGCTAGAATATTTTCAAAAATTCACTTTTTGAATTAAATTACGGGGAAAATGAACTTTTTCACAATATTCTAATTCTAACATGCACCTGTGTATTTATATATACACCTATCAGATCAAAGTAGCTCCACCTCGACAGCAGCGTTTAAAATCAGAAAGAAAAACACTAGATGTATCAGCTGTTTGGATGTAAACAGTAAAAAAGAGCCACAGTTTGAATTTAAGATGATTAAAACAATCAAACTTCATAGTTTTCATTAAATTAGATAAAACTAAAATAAATTAACTGAAAATAAGATTTTTAATGAAATATCACCTTATCTTATTTATCAGGGAGGTTTGAATAAAAAGTAAATGAAAGATCTAAAGATGATTAATGAAAACAGCTTCAGCTCTGAGTGCAACGTGCAGTTCAGAGCGCTGACAGCCGGAGGGCGCCGCCTCACCTCTCTTTGCTGCCTCAGTGTAATCGGACACCCGGATGGTTCCTCCGTCCTTCTCCTCTGAACACAGAAAACATCTGACGTTAACGGTTCAATCCCACAGCAGAGAAACAGGAAGTCCGACATGTTCGACACGTGAAACACAGGAGCATCTCATTTTCAAGTCAAAAAGTGAAACTTTATTATATTTTAGATTCTTTACATCTAAAGTAAAAAATTCAACCTTTTTTTATTTAAACTTGATGAATGAGAATAAAATATTCACTAAAGGCTGTTCTCAAATCAGCATTTATTTCAATATTTCCATGAGCTGAAATCATCAAGATTAAAACTAAAAAATATTTCATGACTGCAGAAAATATAAAAGTTTCACTTTTTGAATTAAATTACTGGGAAAAAATGATTTTTCTGAGCTGCTCCTGTGTAGAAATGTGACCAGAGTTTCTGAAGGAAACAGGTGTTAGCATTAGCATTAGCTTCCTACCGATGGCGCCGAGGTCGACGGCCCGGTCGTAGTAGTAGGAGAAGGCGTAGAACTCCACGTCTGCCGCTTCGGACGCTCTCACCACCTTCCTGTACAGAACCTTCTCCACTTTGTTCAGACACGCCTCGTAAACCGGCTCCCCTGAAACACACACAGCCGCAAGGTTCCTACACGCTCCCGCTGCATGATGGGTAAACCAACCGACCAAATCACCGCGCGCACCGTACCTGCCTTCTGTCCCTTCACAGTGTAGACGACGTCGACGTGCTCCCACCTGCCCGAGTACTCCGGAGCGAGGCAGGGGCTGACCAGCTCAGTGCTGCCCCCCACTGCTCACACAGACACACAGAGGGAGCTGCTGTATTAAAGAGGCTAATGGTGTTCCCCTTATTTTGTCCACGCTCTGGCCATGCGCAGGCAGCAGGGCGGGTCTGTGTGCAGCTTCTTACAGCAGCTAAATCGCAGCAACAGCTGGCAGCAGGCGAGGCATTAATCTCGCTGTTATTAAAAGATTAGATAATGGCTTATTTATCTGGAGGGGGGGGCTGAAAAACAGGAAGGAAAACGAGTAAGGAACGTACAGGGCGAAGCGTCGACGCCTCCTAAGACGGCGAGTCGAGCCGACATCAGACCCAGTCCCAGATAGCTGCAGACAGGAGGGAGCGGGTTACCATGGAGACCGGCAGAGATCAGGTTAAAGGCGGTTCATTAGACACGGGGGGGGGGGGCGTACCTGTGGGTGTACACAGTGTGTGTGACGTTGAACATCCGGAAGGACCTGATGTAGTCGATGGGTGAGGTCTGGATGGTCTTCTGCACAGAGAGCAGAGAGTCAAACACCTTCACCGTCTCGTCAGGTCTTCCTCACGGACACCTGATTTATCATCATCATCAGTGTTATTGCTGCAGCGGCGTGCGGTGACCTGACCGTCTGAGTGATGACTGCTGGTGAACTGCTCTCCAATCCTTCGTGTACAAACCCTGACCTACATAACAAGCAGCCTCCCTTTCTTCCTTTCTACCCCCCCCATGTGTGAGGGTGTTTATTTAGGATTAGCGAGGCATTTACAGATTAAAGCCTCTAAAATGGAGCGCCATCTTGGTAGTTTGACAGAGTCGCCTTCACTCTGACTGAGGGGGGGGGTCGTCTCTCTCTCTCTCTCTCTCTCTCTCTCTCTCTCTCTGTGTCGTCCTCACCTCGTCCTGAGGGCTGAAGGTGATCTGAGTAGACCCGCCCCCCAAATCCAGCATCCCCACCGTGGGCGAGTCAGCACTGTGAAGATCACCTGGGGGAAGAGAGAGAGAGCTGCACTATAATCCAATAACAGGTAATCACTATTTCTGTTCCACATTAATCAAACGTTTGTTCCTGCGTCTCACTGACACCTACATGCCCAACCTGAACCCCCAAACTGCACTTTAAACCTGGTGGGTCCTGCATGTTGGACTCTAGTGTCCCGTTATTACGCCCCGGGTCCCCTCTAGTGTCCCGTTATTACGCCCCGGGTCCCCTCTAGTGTCCCGTTATTACGCCCCGGGTCCCCTCTAGTGTCCCGTTATTACGCCCCGGGTCCCCTCTAGCGTCGCTTTATTACGCCCCGGGTCCCCTCTAGCGTCGCTTTATTACGCCCCGGGTCCCCTCTAGTGTCCCGTTATTACGCCCCGGGTCCCCTCTAGTGTCCCGTTATTACGCCCCGGGTCCCCTCTAGCGTCGCTTTATTACGCCCCGGTCCCCTCTAGTGTCCCGTTATTACGCCCCGGGTCCCCTCTAGCGTCGCTTTATTACGCCCCGGGTCCCTCTAGCGTCGCTTTATTACGCCCCGGGTCCCCTCTAGTGTCCCGTTATTACGCCCCGGGTCCCCTCTAGTGTCCCGTTATTACGCCCCGGGTCCCCTCTAGCGTCGCGTTATTACGCCCCGGGTCCCCTCTAGTGTCCCGTTATTACGCCCCGGGTCCCCTCTAGTGTCCCGTTATTACGCCCCGGGTCCCCTCTAGCGTCGCTTTTGGACATGTAGGGCTCCACAGTCAAGTTACCAAGAATAAATACGCAACGTCCGTTTAAACTTCCAAAATGATTGAAACTACTGGTTGTTGTGAAATGTCGCTGTTTGTTCAAGGTGAGGCACCAAAGCTATGTGGTTAGGTTCAGGAAAGAGTTACAATAACTACATTACTGACATTAACCTCACTAAAAATAATAAATGTTGACTTTTTGTTTTACACCTGAAACCAACACCAGTCTCCTCCTGGGTGAAAGTCAGTTGCACAGACTGGGATTCATTTCAAAATTTCTGCCCTGACTTGGACAAACTTACAGAGACCTTCCAAGGAGCAGCACCAAGAACTCAAATGTCTCTGCTGACATCAGACTTCTGGTTGTGTTCTGGTAGTGAGTGTGTGTTGAATTCTCACCAGTGAGGAAGTTGACGGTGATCCAGGCAGAAATCCCTGATGGAAAAGACCAGAGCTCAATCAACTAGGGTGCTACAGTACAATATATACAAGGTGCTACAGTACAATATATACAAGGTACTACAGCACAATATATACAAGGTACTACAGCACAATATATACAAGGTACTACAGCACAATATATACAAGGTACTACAGCACACAATATATACAAGGTACTACAGCACAATATATACAAGGTGCTACAGTACAATATATACAAGGTACTACAGTACAATATATACAAGGTGCTACAGCACAATATATACAAGGTACTACAGTACAATATATACAAGGTACTACAGCACAATATATACAAGGTGCTACAGCACAATATATACAAGGTACTACAGTACAATATATACAAGGTACTACAGCACAATATATACAAGGTACTACAGTACAATATATACAAGGTACTACAGCACAATATATACAAGGTACTACAGCACAATATATACAAGGTACTACAGCACAATATATACAAGGTGCTACAGCACACAATATATACAAGGTACTACAGTACAATATATACAAGGTGCTACAGCACACAATATATACAAGGTGCTACAGCACACAATATATACAAGGTACTACAGTACAATATATACAAGGTGCTACAGCACACAATATATACAAGGTGCTACAGTACAATATATACAAGGTACTACAGCAATATATACAAGGTGCTACAGCACACAATATATACAAGGTACTACAGTACAATATATACAAGGTGCTACAGCACAATATATACAAGGTACTACAGCACACAATATATACAAGGTGCTACAGCACACAATATATACAAGGTACTACAGTACAATATATACAAGGTACTACAGCACACAATATATACAAGGTACTACAGCACAATATATACAAGGTGCTACAGCACAATATATACAAGATACTACAGCACACAATATACAAGGTGCTACAGCACAATATACAAGATACTACAGCACACAATATATACAAGTGCTACAGCACAATATATACAAGGTGCTACAGTACAATATATACAAGGTACTACAGCACAATATATACAAGGTACTACAGCACACAATATATACAAGGTACTACAGCACAATATATACAAGGTGCTACAGTACAATATATACAAGGTGCTACAGCACACAATATATACAAGGTACTACAGTACAATATATACAAGGTGCTACAGCACAATATATACAAGGTACTACAGCACAATATATACAAGGTACTACAGCACAATATATACAAGGTGCTACAGTACAATATATACAAGGTACTACAGCACAATATACAAGGTGCTACAGCACAATATATACAAGGTACTACAGCACACAATATATACAAGGTGCTACAGCACACAATATATACAAGGTACTACAGTACAATATATACAAGGTACTACAGCACAATATATACAAGGTGCTACAGTACAATATATACAAGGTACTACAGTACAATATATACAAGGTGCTACAGCACAATATATACAAGGTACTACAGTACAATATATACAAGGTGCTACAGCACACAATATATACAAGGTACTACAGCACAATATATACAAGGTGCTACAGCACACAATATATACAAGGTACTACAGTACAATATATACAAGGTGCTACAGTACAATATATACAAGGTACTACAGCACAATATATACAAGGTGCTACAGTACAATATATACAAGGTGCTACAGTACAATATATACAAGGTACTACAGCACAATATATACAAGGTGCTACAGTACAATATATACAAGGTACTACAGTACAATATATACAAGGTACTACAGCACAATATATACAAGGTACTACAGCACAATATATACAAGGTGCTACAGTACAATATATACAAGGTACTACAGTACAATATATACAAGGTACTACAGCACAATATATACAAGGTACTACAGTACAATATATACAAGGTACTACAGCACAATATATACAAGGTACTACAGTACAATATATACAAGGTACTACAGCACAATATACACAGTACACAGAGTGTGTATCATATGTAAAGCATGTATCAGAGTTCATTATCCAGCACAAGAAGCAAGGATTTTAATTAGCACCATTTCACAGGTCCAGGTCGTTGGACTGATCAGCGTCACACGAGTCGCCCTCTAACTGATCTACACAGAGACGGCTGATAAAGCAGCATAAAGAGACATTTATTAAAGACGTAAAGTGCGTTACGCTGCGGCTCATTCAGGGCAGCTCAAAGTCCACATTAGAGTCCGTGGCTGAACATTTGCTCTCGGCTGCATGCATTAGTGCCTTTTACCGGAGACCTCTGACCTGGTCCGCAAGCAGGAGTGGATGATTAAAGGGCTTGATAGAAACTGTATCATAGGAGCTTTACTATAAAACGCTAAGAAGCCATTTTCAAACAAAACAAACAGAGAGACTTGGCTTTTGGACGCTAAACACCGGCACTTAGCACCCCCAGCTAACCGCTCAGAGATCTGCATTAGCAACGAGTCGCCTCCACTCAGGACGGCCGAGGGTAATCTCGGCCGGGGATAAGCATCCCTGCCAAGAACGGCGAAACATCTGAGCGATAACCGCTGCAAGCCGGTTCGACTCCTGAAAGGACGGCAGAGGAATCCGTCCATTAGTGGCTGACGGGATAAGAAGTTCATTCAGTCATCATTAAGAGGCATTTACGGGCGAGCGGCGTAACGAGCTGATCCCACTCAGAGGGAAGGAGAAAACACTTCAGCCTGAGGAATAAACGGGGAGATAATCACCCCCCACAC